GGTAATTTACTGTCCTGTAGTACTATATAAGAGTGCTAGTTTCCAGCTGGCTGCAGCAGCTCCTTCCTGTAATCCCAGCACTTTGGGATGCCAAAGTGCCCAAATAGCTTGAACTCAAGAGTTCAAGACCAGCCTGGGTAACATGATGAAACCTCATCTCTACCAAAAATACAAAAAAGTAGCTGATCGTGGTGGTGGGCATCTGTAGTGCAAGCTACTCAGGTGAGAGGATCACTTCAGCCCAGGGCAGGTTAAGGCTGCAGTGAGCCAAGATCGCACCACTGCACTCCAGCCTGGGTGATAGAGTGAGACCCGGTCTTAAAAAAAAATGCGGATTTGCACTCACGGGGGAGGTTACCATTATCACTGTAAGCATCAGTCTCAACATCATTTTTATTGTGACTCAGGGTGCACAGATTTTCACCTCTGAAATCAGAATGCATCTAATCATCATTGTCAAACAGATGACTGTCATACATGGCTGTGCAAAACCTATTGACTCTGCTGAAATGAAGAAAGGGTGTCATTGCATCCTAACATCTATGAAATTCAGTTTCATTTGGAAATTACAGAACTAGGCCAGCAAATAGAAAGATTATGAACTAGTTGCTGGGCACAGTGGCTCACACCTGTAATCCTAGAACTTTGGGAGGCCAAGGATGGAGGATCTCTTGAGGCCTTGGGTTCAAGATCAGCCTGGCAAACATAGTGAGACCCCATCTCTACAAAAAGTAAAATAAAGAAAAATTATCATTTGAGTGCAAAGTGAATGACATGGAAAGTAGATAATACTATTTACAGAGAGTATCTTGGATCGGTTCTCAAAAGCGTGCCTAAGGACAGAGTTTCCTGAGCTGCATTTGGAAGGCTGGGGAGTGCTGAGGGAGCGAGAGGACAGGTGTACTATCTCTCCATAGTTATTCCTACTTCTTTTTGTTGTGTACAGAGCTGTAAAAACGTTAATGGCCATAGTACAATAGCAGAGAGAATCAAGTTAGTGTTCATAGTCTTTTGGCTGTTGGCGTGTATCATTCCCTGCAGCCCCTGCACCCCTCACACCCAGACTTCCTACTTAACAATCCTCTACCCCGTACCTAAATGTGGCACACCCTGCCTTTTGGTCTCAGTTTAGGCAACAGTTTAGCTGGGAAGCCTTTTCTGATACACCAACACTGGTTGCTTAAGTATCACCTCCTTATGTTTTCCATTGTACCTCATCCATCCCCTGACCTTATTACTTATATTCAGTATTGTATTACCTCAGACTTGATGTCTCTGTCATTAAATGGTAAGCTGTAGAAGCCTGTGCTCTTTATTTTCCTTTGAATTCCAGTCTAGCACCATGTCTGACGCATGGCAGGTACTTAAAAAATATCATTTGAATGAACTTCAGTACCCAGCCCATGAATGTAACCTGGGGTTACTGGGGTATTGAAAGTTATAGCCATAAGGGTTCCCATGTGAGTCTATTGTTTTGAGAAGATCCAGTTCTCTACTAGTTTTTACTTAAGGATTGGAGCTTCAATTATATGTAATCCTAGTAGTACTAAACCAGCAGTTTAAACTTCCAACTTATTACGAGAGCCTATTAGAGCAAGCTGTCTGTGCCTGTCTGAGACTCTCATTAAGCCATTCCATGAAATATCTGCAGGAATCTGGGCATCTTGCATCTGAGAGCCCATTTCCGGCAGTTAGTACAGTAAGAACTGAAACCAGAGGCTGAAAATGAGTTGGCACTTGCTCATAGCATTTAGGTCACTTTCAGTTTAATCTGAAATAAAATTTTGTTCCTTTACCTCTTTTTTAAAAATAGAATACTCAAGCTATTTTCATGTTAACTACGTATTTTATAAGTTGTTAGTGGGAATAGCCAACCAGTCACTTTCTCTTGTGGAGCGAAAGAAACTCTTGCCCTGTGAGATTGGAGTGAAGTGTTAAGGAAAAGTTGTCAGATGGTTTGAGTTCAGACTCTCTCCAAGCTGTCTCTCCAAACATGGTACTTCAATTCAGAATAACTGGTCAAATTCTGCACTAAACATAAGGAATGAATTCTGCCTCCAGTCTAGACAAAGTCAGTTTACCCTTGTAGTTATCAGGGATGAAAGCTGGCTTATGTGCTGTAGCCTGTATAACTCACTGGGATACATTTAAAAATGGATACGTTGAAATGGTTAAATATGACAAATGAAGAAAGGAAAGGAAGTCACAGTAATGTCTGAATTCAACCCAGGTTTCTGTGTCCTACTTGTTCTAATTCCTATTTGTCTGTAAAGATCTGTATGTGAATTTTTTTCCTGAATAGACCATGTTAATGAACAGTATTCATATTGTGAGGTCCATGTATTAGTGGCAGTTTAGGAAAATACAGGCCAAAGCGGGGAAGTTATCACTTGAAAACATGTCACTGTGCTTGGATATAGCCAGGAAATTAACCATGTCAACATGATAATATTTCTTGAAAAGCCTGAAACCCATTTTTCTATGCTGATAGTTATCAATTTCTGCTCTAAACTCATTTCTATCATGATAAGATATCTTCAAAGTTTTTTGTTGTTGTTGTTGTTCTTTTTCTGTTCTAATCCTAAGAAAACAGAGCTGGTGTCTGCCTGACTGTTCCACTGGGAGATAAGTTGTTGAATGAGGTGTAGAACACGGTTGTGAAGAAAAGGAGAAATCAGTCCTGTCCCCTTAGTTCCTGTACTTCTCCCTACCACTCTCTTGTTTTATAAAACATGTTCTGTAAAGCATGTGTGCTTGGGGCCACCAAGACCACAGTGTCACATGGGGGAAAACTCTGTAATAACCCACCATGATTTTTTAAAGTGCTTTTGACATGATCTTGCTGTTTGTATCAAGGTAATTTTATTAGGTAAAATTTATTTTTTGTCAGTCAACTAATTCTCCACTGAACATAAGGAGTTGACAGATATTTAATTCAATATCTGAGGCTCCTAGAAGTTAAGAGGGACATGGAAATTTTGGAGAGCGTTCAGTAAAAGGATAAATGAAACCAAATAAACTTTTTGAAACTAAGTAAAAGTGTTAGAGTTGTAGTATTTAGAGAAGAGCAGGCCAAGCTGCATTCATATTTGTAAATAAGGTCGTTTTTAATATAGAGGACAGTGGTGAACTGGTTTACTATACTGTGAAAAAGTCAGGAGAAGAAAAGGATTCAATGATAAGATAACGAATTTGGCTCATGTGGAATGATTTTTCTTACTCTTGAGGATTGATGAATCAAGTAACAAGTTACAAAGGCATGTGTAATTTATTTCGGAGGCCCTTCAAAACAGGACGGAGTCTTCTCTACCTGGGGTAGCTGAGAGGATCAAAAGGAACATACCATGCAATTTTCTTAAAGATTTTTTTTTCTTTTAAGATCCTAGATTAAAAGAATTACAATGGAAAAAAGACTCATTGTCCATATCCATAGGCAATAAAAGAAACAACTCATATGAATAACAATTAGGCTTCAGTCTCATTTTGGAACTACCACCTAATCTTATTTTGTGAAAGAAGATTGTGAGTTCTTAGGTAATTGCTTTCTTGATCTACTTTAGGTTCCATAATTCTCTCTCATTGTTTTTAATTGTATTAAAGTGTGTTTATTAAAGTACTAATGAGACCAAAGTCATACTGATTAAAAACAGAATTATTCATTTAAACCTTTTGATATTATGAAATCAAAGATAGATTCAAATATTGGAAGACAGATTCAGTACTTCTGATGAGATGTTTGCTGTGTACCTAGAGTTTTTTTCTTTTGAACAATTTATTCCAGGTCTGTTGAGGTTACAAAATTTTTACGAAATGAAACTGTTTTTTTAATCATAAAAGCAGTTTATTCTAAGAGCTCTAGGCAGGGTGCTTCTTCTTCAAGTGATTTTTATAGCATCTAATAAATAAATATGCTGCTGGCTCGGCAATACGTATTAAGAGTACACATTTTGTTTATCATCACCGTCTCTAATTTTTTAGAATGTTTGGAATTGAAGTTTTTTTCCTTCCCTACTCCCTTTTTCTACTCACTGACTTTTATATTGAAGCCTCTCTTCCTTTTCTTTGGAAATGCACTTTAAATAGATCTCTCAAATGCTATTTTCTTCCTTTGTCTTTTACCCAGTTTTGTTTCTCTATTATCTTTTTATTTAATGTGCATTCTTCAGCTTCAGGCGTGTCTTATTTTTTTAAATATGTCAATGTATTTAAGCATATTTGTCCATTTTTTTCTGCCCATTATTATTATTATTATTTTTTTGGTTGGTAATTCTGATTACCTTCCAATCACAGATGTTTTGACTGATATCTTAAAAGCAAATCAGTAGTTTCCTTCTTAGAGGACTTGGGACTCTGGCCCAGACCTGTAGCAGGGTCAGTCCACTCCCCAGTACCTCTGCCTCTGGGTCCCCTCTCCCTTTTCATGGTCACTGCCTGTGACGGTGATCTGGACTGTTGCCATTTTTCCTGCTCCATCTCTCTGCCTCTCATCGTCAACTCCTTCCACACACCTAGGAGGAGGCAAATCTGTGCTCTCCCTTCTTGCTTAAAATCTTTCACTACCAATCCCTTGTTCACAAGATGCAATCCAAACCCCTTCATATGCAAAAAAAGTCCCTGCATGAGCTGATCATTCCCATCTGCCTAGCCAGCCTGCTCTCCTTGCAGAACCCGTGAGCTCTTCCCCTAGCCCATTTCTCCAGCCACATCAGACCCCACACTCTGGATTCAGAACACAGTCTGAATAAACGCATGGGGACTTTTTATTTTTTTATTGACATGATTGCAATGAAGTTAAGCAATGGAGTGATAGGAGGTGGCCCAGTTGGTGCTGAGTACCAGTTTGTGAAGCATTGCCATGGGTTGGGGCCAGGACCCTGATGTCCAGCTAATGAATGACGATGAGAGGGCACCAAGCCATTCTCCCCAAGAGGAGAAGAAATCTGGTTCTCCCTTACCCACACCCATGCTCTGATATTCATTGTTTCTCTCCCCAACCTCAGCCTGTGATGGTGATCACTGGGGTCCCCACTGCACCAGTCGGTGCCAGTGCAAAAATGGGGCTCTGTGCAACCCCATCACCGGGGCTTGCCACTGTGCTGCGGGCTTCCGGGGCTGGCGCTGTGAGGACCGCTGTGAGCAGGGCACTTATGGTAACGACTGTCATCAGAGATGCCAGTGCCAGAATGGAGCCACCTGCGACCACGTCACGGGGGAATGCCGCTGCCCACCAGGATACACCGGAGCCTTGTAAGTCACATGCTGCCCAGCAGCAGAGCGGAGCCCACCCACCCTCTCCATTCATGCTGCTGCTGCCATCATATTTCTTGTGCTTCAGTTTGCATTGCTGCCTGAAGAGTTACTGATGGGTCTAGGCTGCAGGCACAGATGCAGAGGTCAGCAGTGATGGCCACTAGGTGCTGCTGCTGCTGGCTCTTGGACATCAGAGCCCAGCCTGAATCTAAGGGCCAGCTTCCATGCTTTCCTTTTAGCAAGGCAAAGAGAAAGAGGGTCAGTCAGGATGTTGTGTTGAATGGCACTATTTGGGGGTTGTTGGGGCATATTTGGGGTTCTGTTTGGATCTCCCGAGATTACGTTCATCTATACTGCTGGGTGTTAATGGTCCATGTCTTTTTGCTCTTTGTGGCAATTAAATAGCTGGGGAAAGCTGGGTGGGTTCAGTGCATTAGAAGAGAAAAGGAGGAAGGTGTTAAAAATAGTCCATAATAAAAGATTAAGTCTTAGGGATACATACGTTATTTAATGCCCATGTATACATATTGCTTTGTGAATGTAAAGATATATGTATTACATCTATGTAGATTATGTGCACACACAGTTTAATTCTTTCTGAGGAACATTCAATCAACTACTTAACCTCCACTGTCTTTATTTTGTGGGAAGGGCATGCTTCAGTTCACTTCTATTCACCAACAGAATTAAGAGGCAGAAGTTGCTAAAAAAAAGTAAGAGATAGAAAAAGCTATTCTCTTACCGAGAAAATTACATTTATAAATCACAGAACTAAAACTTGAAAAAACAAAATATGACTGATTAGGTAAACACTTCCTGCCAACGGTGTTAAATGTCTGTAGAGTGGAGCTAAAGAAAAAAATTGCATTACCCTAGAAAGCCCTGATTTTCAGAATTGAAGATTATCTCAAACTGTTTAATTGTTAATATTGCTTTTATGGGTTTTCATCAAGGCCACAATTGAACTGGGCTCTGGGAAACTTGGAGCGAATTCCCAGGAGACCAGGAAAGACAAAGGCTTAGAGAAGAAGGGCCATGCGACACGTGGGTGGGTGAGAGAAGGGAAACTTGTCAGTCAGGAGGAGAGAACGCCAAAAATGGATGATGAGAAGGAGTTCATGTCTTTTGTAGGGACATGGATGAAACTGGAAGCCATCATTCTCAGCAAACTAACACAGGAACAGAAAACTAAACACTGCATGTTCTCACTCATAAATGGGAGTTGAACAATGAGAACACATGGACACAGGGAGGGGAACATCACACACCGGAGTCTGTCTAGGGGTGGGGGAAAAGGGGAGGGAGAGCATTAGCACAAATACCTAATGCATGCGGGACTTAAAACCTAGATGACAGGTTGATAGATGCAGCAAACCACCATGGCACATGTACACCTGCATAACAAACCTGCACATTCTGCACATGTATCCTGGAACTTAAAGTACAATTTTAAAAATGAAAAAAATGAATGATGAATATGTGCACAAAGGGTGTGATGTGCAACATCTCAATTTTCTTTGGGAATAGAACAAACACATAAACAAAGGTAGACTTAAATTGGAGCACAAGCGCTTTATAAGAGTTACATGAAAAGTTCCTGTCACCAATGAGTGTTTGACCAGTTTTCTTCCTCAGTGTTCTCAGACAGGACAGCTTCTCTTCCAACTGAAATGGCTTTATTAGAAAGTACCCCAAAACAAAGGGAAGGACTGGGTGACTCCTCAAAGACACTTCCAGGCAATATGATTAATGTTCTTGATGTCAATTAATTAAATGAAGCGATTATTGAACACAGAAAACTTGTCTATTTGGGGGACCCTGGGCGCTGTTGTGCCTGTGAACCTGAGGATCATGTGTCTGGGAAATAACAGTGTCCTTTGTCACATGTTAATCCCTCAGCTGTGAGGATCTTTGTCCTCCTGGTAAACATGGTCCACAGTGTGAGCAGAGATGCCCTTGTCAAAATGGAGGAGTGTGTCATCACGTCACTGGAGAATGCTCTTGCCCTTCTGGCTGGATGGTAAGCTTCCTTCCCACCTCCTCTGTCCCCGCCCCAAAGTCACCCATTCCAGGATACTCAGTGAATACATATGCAGGAGACTTTAGCACAAAAGAAAGTTACCATGATGATTGAAGATTGGAAAGACTCAAGCCATTTTAAAGCCGAAGCTCTTCAGTTCTGAGGAGACAGAAGAAGGTGATTTAGTCCTAGACTTGAAATGCATTAAAGGTTGTCATGTAAAGGATAGTGGCCATCTGTCCTGCATTTCCCTTAAAGATACAAAAAGAGAGACAAATATCTAGTCTCACATGACAGTGCTGATAAACACTGGATTTATTTAATAATTATTTTCATAATTTTGTTCCAGGAGTTGCTGTTGTTCTTTGGGAACATTATTCTCAACAGTATAAGTGTCATGTGAAAAAAAAATCATATAAATCTGGGGATACATTGAGGTAAACCACATTTACCAAATATTGCAGGACTTCTCAGAGCCTTGGGTGTGATAATGCAAGAAGAGGCTATTCAACATATTCTACAAACTTCGACCAGGGTACCCTTTCTTCATGTAGCAATTTCACATGCTTAGAGTTACGTAGAATACACAGTAACAATTAGCTTCAAATTAGACATCTGAAATCAGGAAATAGAATAATATTGATGTCATCTCTCTGAGTTGGTTTGTGCCTATGTCTGCTTGAAGGCAGATGAGTGAGCAACCAATAACTGTTTCCTTCATTAGCAAACTATTTAACAGAGCAATTGACTTTTTTTTTTTTTATCACCTTCTATTTCCATGAGCAGTGCTGAAGCTGTTCTTTCAGAGGTTACAAGGGACTGAATTGCCAAGACTCTTCTGTTCTCATTCAGCTTTACTTCTCCAAAGCTTTTCTTTCTGTTGATCACCAACCTCCGTTCCTTAATTCCTTTGCCTTCTCTTTTTCTAATCATCCCCTCTCTTACCTTTCATACTAAAGATCTCTTTTTCTAATTCCGCTTCTTCTACATACTACTTCATTACAGGATTTTGTCCTTCTCTTTTCTCACCATAAATCCACTCTGGCAATCTCATCCAGACCCATAGCTTTAAGAAGCACTTGATGGTTTTCCTAGATGTTGATCTTACCTGCCTTGAGCTTAGATTTATATTTGTCACCCCAACCTTGGTAACCTATAGACACAAAGCCACCATCTGTTTGGGCAATGTCCAAGCTAGAGTCTCCACAGCCAGACCTAGGCAGAGAATTGGTCTGGTATTGCCCTTTCTTGTGGCTGTGGAACAAAGGAGAACTGGAGTTCATTTTTCAATGAGGGTCTTGGAAGTAAGAGAGAGTTTAAGATGTCAAGGCCACTGGGGCAAGTATACAATAAAAATCAGATCTGAGAGGGTCAGAAATGATGAGTAGCCCAGACAAAGCTCATTTTAGAGGCAAAGCGTGGAGAAACAGCATGAGGCAACGGAGTTTGAGAGAGAGGAGAACTTTAATTGAGTGCCTGAGGATGAGGACAAGGTGAAAGAGAAGCTGTTTAAGGAGTACTGAGCAGGTTTGAGCAGGCCTGGCAGAGTTGATGTTAATAAATTTAATAAATCCAAACTTGTATACCCAAGCCTTTTGTAAGGCTACTCCTCCTCTACCTTTTTTGTCTTGGTTAAAACTAACACTTCTCTCTTAGTTGTCTGAGGTAAAGATGCTGGGTTATTTTTGACTCCTTCTATTCTTTCATTTCCTATACTCAGCCTTTTGCCAGCGTTGGTCTTCTGCGATGAAAGTGTTTTGCTGGAGCAGCAGAGCGTTGAGAACCCCATGCTCTCTGGATAAGGAACTGCGGTCCTTTTACTCCTAGGACTTCTGTGTAGATATTGTCTGTGGAGTTGCCTCGCCTTGCCTTGAGGCTGAAGCTCTTCTCAGTTGGGGTGGTCAGGATGTGAGTAAATGGTAACCTCAGGCTTGGGTTATGAGTCCCAGTATGTAGACAGATGGACCCCTCTCTAGCGGCCCAACGGAGCCTCCCCTCACCTCTTTCTCTGTGTCCTGGGCCCCTTACCTTACTTCTGCTTCAAAAATCCTTCAGCTTGTTTTTTTCTCCTGTGTAGCTGAGCTTTCAACTTACACTTCTCCTTTACAACATGTTATTTGTGCTGTCATCCTATGTGCTTTTCAAAGTTGAATATGTATTCCTATTATACACACATACCTTCGTATTTCAACTAAGAGAAATCATGTCCTCTTTAAAGCTGCTTGTGAATGTTAATCCTTATGCACGAAAATATTTCAGTGCATTTCTGAAGCTTGTGTGGGACCATTATGGGTAGTTAAGTCAGGCCCTGAGAGAGGGAGAATTTTCACCCCTGCTTACCACAGACCGACCTTCAGTACATTATTCCTGCAGTCATGCTTTTACCTCACACTAAGTATACCATGTCAGACTGGAGTGGAGAGACTAGAGTGATTTTTACATCTGTCCCCTTCCCCATATTGTGAGCTAATTGAGGATTGTTACCTTATCTTTGATTCTCAGTGCTTAGCTCAATGCCTGGCACGTAGATGATTCCCAGTTAAGTGCTGATTCGAATCATCTCTCAAAGGCCTTTTCCATTCCAAGAGTCTGTGGAAGAAATTTCCCGTTTGTAGATAGCTAGAAACCACCAGAGGAGACTTAATTAGCACACCAACTGCCTTTGTGGGTAGCCAGGAGTTAGAGGAAATGTATTTGCTTATGCTGTCCAGAATAAACATTTAGGAAACCATCTGGTGTTCACTTGCCTCCAATTTCAGAGTGCCCACAGTCTGCCTTTTTTTAGAGAGAGGGAGGACAGAACAACAGCTTCCAATAGTTAAAAACATTAGAAAAATCCCTGTTATTTGGGATATGTTGTTTGTCTAATTATAAGTCCAATAAATAGATGAGAAGCTGTGAGCCCAAGTGTTACAGCCAAGTGAAGAAGAAAACAGAGTATTTCATTGAGTTAATGGTACAGTATCTTATTCTTATCCACGCAGGATTGGAGTAAATATAATGACTGCTTGACAAGATGGACAGCCTCTAGGGTGAGGAGAAATATCCAAGTTACTCTCTTGGTTTTTCTCTCCAGGAAATAAGTTTCCTATTGATCTTGGCTCAGCAATGCTTGTTGAATCTGCTGAAAATAAAATGTTTTTTTTTTCTGAAATAAATGTCTAGGTTCATTCCTGTAAAAGTCTTTCTTTGGCAATGTGATTGTTAATTCAGGTACACAAAATTTCAATCTTGTGTTATGCTACATTTTAAGAAATAACGTCAATGATAAAATGTGTATTTTCTCTAGAACATATGGTAAAGCATTTGGATATTCCGTGTGCAGCAGATGTTGCCATTTATGTAACGGATGCTCAATAAGTTTTGTTGACTTATTGTGCATGTAAGACACAAAGAAAAACATCAGGAGGATTTATACATTCCTTAGGTTTCCATAATAGTTTGATGTAACTTTGTCTTAAACTTCAGTTTTTAATATGGATTTTGCTTAATATTACTATTCAGCCATCTTTGAATGTATCTTGAGATTTGGGCTTACTGAGTAATTAAGTCAATTTAATGTTTCTAACGTTTTAAAGATGATGAACAGTTTATGTGCTCTAAAATTCCCCAATCTAATTTTCTTGCAGCCCTGTTCCCTTATCCCTCCTTTCTATTTCCTCTCTTTTCTTATTCATCCATCAGTCGTCTTTCCCTGGCTGGAGGCCCATCTAATTTTCCAAGTCTCTTTGAATGCAGGGCACAGTATGTGGTCAGCCTTGCCCCGAGGGTCGCTTTGGAAAGAACTGTTCCCAAGAATGCCAGTGCCATAATGGAGGGACGTGTGATGCTGCCACAGGCCAATGTCATTGCAGTCCAGGATACACAGGGGAACGGTAAGGGATGCCCTTGTATTTCTCTGACTGTTCATAATGATGTGAAAGGAAAGTTTGTAGGGTCCAGGGAGCATCTTCAATACCATGTGTCCATGACTCTTCCATAATATTTCAGAAGTAGCTATACAGCCTCAATGTGTTTGACAGATTCTATCCTAATTCAGTGTATAGAAACTGAATTATAAATAGCAATGGTAAATTGAAAATAACAGAAAAAGCACTAAAAAAAAAAAACAAAAAAAAAAACCATAAAATATCAGCTATTCAGAACCCATGATGAAAATGTCATTCTAGAGAGTTGAGTGTTTAGGACTGCCACTTACACTTTAAGTGCTTGGGGATAGATTTATTTTTAAATGGGATGTGTACTTAGGTACCTTTCAAAAGTATGAAGTGACTTTCTTATGATTCAGTGTTCTGTTGAGAATGTCAATCATTAGATTGTGTGGTGGTGACAGAGTCAGATCTGCTGGGACTTATAGGGCTCTCTGGTCCCACACGAAACAGGAAAAACTGGCTGTGCTCGTGTGGGTCTTCCTGCCCCTGTTCCTCATCCTCTGTATTAAATGGTAAACTGTTATCTCAGAGTGCTTTGCACACCCTACTTCTTTTTCTTCAATTTTTTTCTTTTCTTTTTTTTTTTTTTTTGTGGGACATAGTAGATGTATCTATTTATGGAATACGTGAGATGTTTTGATACAGACATGCAATGTGAACTAAACACATCATGCGGAATGGGGTATCCATCCCCTCAAGCATTTATCCTTTGAGTTACAAGCAATTCAATTGCACTCTTCAAATTATTTCAGAAAGTACAATTAAATTACTATTGACCATAGTCACCCTATTATGCTATCAAATAGTAGGTCTTAATCATTCTTTCTGTTTTTTTTTTTTTTTTGAGACAGAGTCTCGCTCTGTCACCCAGCTGGAGTGCAGTGGTGTGATCTCGGCTCACTGCAACCTCCACCTCCCGGGTTCACGCCATTCACCTTCCTCAGCCTCCCGAGTTGCTGGGACTACAGGTGCCCGCCACCAAGCCCAGCTAATTGGTTTTTTTGTATTTTTAGTAGAGACGGAGTTTCACCGTGTTAGCCAGGATGGTCTCGATCTCCTGACCTCGTGATCCACTCACCTCAGCCTCCCAAACTGCTGGGATTACAGGCATGAGCCACCACACCCAGCCCTTTCTAATTTTTTTTGTACCCATTAACCATCCCCATTTCCCCTACACCCTCCCACTATCCTTCCCAGCCTCTGGTAATCATTCTTCTACTCTCTGTGTCCATGAATTCCATTGTTTTGATTTTTAGATCCCACAAATAAGTGAGAACATGTGATGTTTGTCTTTCTGTGCCTGGTTTATTTCATTTAACATAGTAATCCCTAGTTCTATCCATGTTGTTGCAAATTACTGGATCTCATTCTTTTTATGGCTGAATAGTACTCCACTGTGTATATGTACCACATTTTCTTTATCCATTCATCTGTTGATAGACATGTAGGTTGCTTCCAAATCTTAGCTATTGTAAACAGTGCTGCAACAAACCTAGGAGTGCAGATATGCTTCCATATACTGATTTCCTTTCTTTGGTTATACACCCAGCAGTGGGATTGCTGGATCATAAGGTAGCTCAATTTTTAGTTTTTTGAGGAACCTCCAAACTGTTCTCCATAGTGGTTGTACTAAGTTACATTCCCACTAACAGTGTACAAGGGTTCCCTTTTTTCTGCATCCTCACCAGCATTTGTTGTTGCCTGTCTTTTGGATATAAACCATTTTTAACTGGTTTGAGATTATATCTCATTATAGTTTTGATTTGCATTTCTCTGATGATCAATGGTGTTGAGCACCTTTTTATAAGGCTGTTTGCCATTTGTATGTCTTCTTTTGAGAAATGTCTATTCAAATCTCCTGCCTATTTTTGATTGGAGTATTAGACTTTTTCCTATAGAATTGTTTGAGCTCCTTGTATAGTCTGGTTATTAGGTTGGTGCAAAAGTAATTGCGGTTTTTGCTATTGAAAGTAATGGTGAAGACCGCAATTACTTTTGCACCAACCTATAACCTCTGGTCAGATGGATAGTTTGGAAATACTTTATCCCATTCTGTGGGTTGTCTTTTCACTTCGTTGATTGTATTCTTTGCTGTGCAGAAGGTTTTTAACTTGATGTATGCATACTTCTTTCAATGCTCGTGAATCTGTCATGTCCTGCAAGACTAGGTAGCCAAGCTCACTGGATGTGTGTGTAGGATTTGAGAAGAGACTTGAGAGGCAGAAGGGCATAGTGATTAAAAACAACCATTTGGAATCTAGGTTTAGGTCAATGTGTCCCTGGAAACACCTTTTATTTTATTTTATTTTATTTTTTGAGACAGAGTCTTGTTTTTCCCCCAGGCTGGAGTCTTGTGGCACGATCTCGGCTCACCGCAACTTCCATCTCCCGGGTTCAAGCAATTCTCCTGCCTCAGCCTCCCTAGTAGCTGGGATTACAGGCACACACTGCCACGTCAGGCTAATTTTTCGTATTTTAGTAGAGACAGGCTTTCACTGTGTTGCCCAGGCTGGTATCGAACCCGTGAGCTCAGGCAATCTGCCCGCCTCGGCTTCCCTAAGTGCTAGGATTATAGGTGTTGGAAACACCTTTGTCTGTAATATCCTAATAATAATTGTACTTTTCTCTAGGGTTGTTGTAAGGATTAAATAAGTTAGTGTGTTATCACATTTAAAACAGTCCTGGAACTTATCAATATTAGATATTATTATTCTACAACGATTTCTATGAACTGTGTAAATACTAGTGATTATCAATTTGAGTGATGTTTATGAGCTGTATAAAATTAGCTATCATTATTTTTTATGATGTCTTTGAATTAAGAATTCCTTCATCTTTTTTCCTCTTATTTTTTCTCTTTCTAAAATCCTGGCATAATTTTATGACTTTTAATAAGATACTGTCAGGTTTGTTCCCTCCTCCCTCCAACTTAGACCCTGTACTTTCTTATTAAATTTATTTCTTAGTATTATGTAATTTTTTAAAATTTCATTTCTGCATCTAATTGGATATTTCAGGTTGGAGAAAAACTTGCTTTTGACTAGTTACTTTTTAATTTATTCATAATACCAAACTTTTAAGGTAATTTTAATGTTGTTTTTAGCAAACTCTGGAGTTATTTAGTTATACTATCATATCATCTACAAATAAACATAAGTTAGTCTTTTCTTTTCAATATGTATAATGATTATTTCATTTCCTTGAATTATTGCATAAATTTGAGCCTCCAAATTAATGTTGACAAACAGCAGTAAAAGTAAAAATCTTTGTCTTATTCTCGAATTTATTGGAAATGGCTTCAGCGTGGTTTCATGTTTGCTATTGGTATTTGGTAAATTATTTTCTTCATTCTTAAGTAGTTTTTTAAATTCCTTTTTTTAATTAAAATCTTTTGTTAATAGTAGCTGCTTAATTTCATTAAATGACTTTTTGTCTTTTGCTAATATAATTACATATTTTTCCTTTAATTTTTCATGCAATGAATTGTTGACATTCTTAGTACACAGTTTTTATAACATGTAATTGGACTACTCAGATTTTGTAACTGACATCCTAGTTTTAGGTTGTATTTTGGATAGATTAGGCTGTTAGATAATTTCTGGATCCATTTAATATCCTATTATAGAAAAATGAGTTGGAATAAGGGAGGCACAAGACCAAACACAATCTTAATAATAGTTTCTTGTCATATTTTAGGGCACTAAAATGGCAATATAATTATTTTCTTGCCCTCTAGGGATTTAAGTTTCAAATTAGAGGCAGCACAAGAACAATAAACATACAAGGCAAATGAGCTTATACATATTTCATCTGGAATACAGGGAAAGGGAATAACAGTTAATTTTCAGATACATTTTACATTTGAGCCAAGGAAGGCCAGGGGCCAGAGAAAGAGAAAGCAAGTAAAGAGAGAACTTGCTTCTGGACCTGCTGCTCTTGTAACTATTGTTTTTCTGATGAGCCAGTGAAATGATTCCTGTTTTCAGCTGTCATTCCTGTCTAGGCTCTGGAGTTCACACATACACACACACACAAAGACAGCAAACACATTTGTCACTATGAAAGGACAACAGTGAACGTCTATGAGGCAGTCCGTGACGGGAGGTGTGGGGAGAAAGGCCTTGACAGGCTGGGGTCTTAACTTGCCATTTCCCTTGTGTTGAGAAGTCAGCGAAATTTGATCAGTGAGGTTAGGGCAGAGGGCTGCCGGCCCTAGGAGCCTGCACAGCATTCCCAGGATGTGGGGACAGTCCTCCGGGCCAGAGGGAAATAGGAAAAATCCAAACAGGCACCCCGTAGGCTGGCAGAGCAGTGCATGGGATGTCCAAATAAAAGGCTTTGAGGTTTGTGGAAAGGTTGAGAGGATATTGTGGTGAGTAAATGTAACATGACACAGTCAAGTAAGAGTGAAGAGATGATGGCTTCCAGATCCTCAAAAAACTCCTTCTGAAGGGGTTAAAAGAGTTTCACATGCTGATGGTGCAGCCATAGGATCACTCTGGGTCCTGCAATAGCCTAGTAGGGGCCCACGCACATGATTGGTGCCAGTGAGTGTTAGTTGGATGAAAGGATGCGTGACTCAGTGATGAACTGTGTTAAGGTGAAGCCCAAAACAGCTCTGCCAAGCCTGTGTTCGATAGTACCCTGAAGGTGAAGATAAATGTGGGTGAAAGGAGGTGAAGTCAAAAATTATAGACAGGAATTGGGGAATGCAGCATTGGTCATCAATGGAGGAACTCTTTCCTGGGTCTAGGAGCATGGAAACCTTGGCTCTTTCCCAGTGCTTTTTACATTTCCCCCAGAGCAGCAGTTCCAGATGTTAGAAAGGTAGGCAGCTGATTCATGGATCCCAGGTTTAATGAGGAATGCGATTCTTTCACACTAAATCATAGTTTGGCCTGACTATTCCAATCACTCTAGGGAAGGACATGCTTAGGACAGGAGTGAAAGCGGTACCTGTCACCCTTTACATGTTAACTCACTTCCTTTTTTCCTTAAGTTCACAATGACATGCAACATAATAATAGAAACGGTATTAAAACAAGTCTATGACCCTCACTGGTTTTGGGAATTGATGTGTTAATACTTTACTTAATGTTTATCCATTCTTACCAATTCTAGGACATTACTTGAAATGTAAAAAAGTTAGAAACCCCAAATTTCCATATTTCTACTGTGGCTATTTATTACTGTATCTTTATTACTTTTCTACTGTCTTAAGAAAACGTGTTTTCTCTTTTATCGATTTTTGAGAGCTTTTCCTGTTCCATTTGGGACCACAGAAACAGCATTAAGGTCATAAAATTTGTTGGGAAATGGTGCTTCTTGAAGTAAAGGGACCAAAAAGAAGATAAGACTGCTTGATAAAGACTTTTAATGCAGTCAATCAGAAAGGCTTCAGCTATTTCATGATTATGTTTATTTTCAAGATGGAAAATATATACTTCTAGAAAGATATCCTACCATTTTCCTTTGGTGGATAGAAGCAGACGTAACTATTATTAACAGGATTGTCCTACAAGTACAACACTGACAAAAAATAAAATGGGAATATGAATCCAGCTTAAATAATGGCTGCTCTAGTAAGTAACATTCAAATAGGACTTTTTGTTTTATATTTATAATACAAACTAGTAGTGTGTTTAATTGTAGGTTAAAAAGGTAAATGTGGGTCAAGGCCAGCTATTATAGATTTTATTTTTCCTGAGAAAGGAAGTTTCTGCCAAGATATGATAAAATAAACACACTGGTTCCCTGTAATTTGGTAACAGATACTTTCCCAGGCTTCCAATCTATACCACTTTCAACCATTTTTAAGCACTGCTTTTTACCAAGTTGAAATCATGAAGATAGTTTAAAATTTAACGTTAGGGTTTGTTTTCAAATCCTTTTAGGAGACGGAAAGTTATATTATTTATCTTTACCTTTTTTCCTTTTGATACTGACTTGCGAGAAAATCTAACAGACAGGTTGAAAAGTTGTCTTGACAGCCTTCAGTAGGAGCCATGATGAGGCCAAATTATTGTGCCTAAGCATTTCTTTCTTTAAAGTTTACATCTTTAAGGAATAAACTCGATGACTTGGCTTATTGAAGCTTCTTACAGGTTAAAAATAAAGAGCACCTTTTAAAAATACACTCCAGTCCAAAAATAGGTATACCCATGTATAACTTTTAGGCACACATTTTATTTTATGCTGAGTATTAGTTCAATGACTCCATAACTTTCCTAATGGTTTGTTGAGCAATTGAAGGTTCTACCTGTTGACAAATACACCTGAAGACGTCTAGAATCTGTGAAACTAAATTTACATGAGATTCTTTTCCTTGTCTCCATCACATTAAATATATGCTAGAGCCAGAGGTAACCAGAAAAGCATCAAAGGGGCTGGTCCAAGTGGCTCATTCTATAATCCCAACACTTTGGGAGGCTGAGGCGGGAGGATCACTTGAGTCTAGGAGTTTGAAACCAGCCTGGGTAACATAGCAAGACCTCATCTTTACAAAAAATTTAAAAATTAGCCTGACAAGGTGGTGAGTACCTGTGGTCCTAGCTACTCAGGAGGCAGAGGTGGGAGGGTCACTTGAGCCCAGGAGTTTGAGGTTACAGTGAGCTATGATGGCACCACTGCACTCCAGTCTGGGTGACAGAGGCAGACCCTGTCTCAAAAAAAAAAAAAAAAAAAAAAAAATCAAGATTTGTCCTCTACACTAAAATAGAATTCCTCCCACCCTGGTATTGTTACTTGTTGTACCCTATCATTAAAAATATGCAAAGTTGTGGAAACACTGTTTCTTTGAAGTATGTTTCTCTTCTGTTTCTTTTAAGTGTGCTTGAATTTGTCATTATGCCTTGCTGCTCACATTATACAGATCTAAAAAATGCAAGGCTGACCTACATTTTTGACTCTGGTTCTGGCCTGACTTGAGAGCCACATGGGAAGTGGCTGCCGAGACAAAGTGTACCCTTCTTGTGGCGAATGCTCGGCTGGGCAAAGCCCTGTCTCCCTCCCTTGGCAGAAAGCTCTCCTTCTGCTGCAGAGAGCCAGTCACCTGGCCTAGTCAAAAAGAAACTTGGCTAGTTTGAGAACTATTTGTGCTTTCCATGGAGCAAGAGAGATCATTTTCTCTTTTCTATCATGATTCCCTCTAGCAACTCGGCTTCCCACCTCATTCACCTTACCTAGAGCATATCCTTTCTCTTGGACAGAGCTCCAATGCCATTTTAAAAAAGACAATAAAGTGAATGTTTGAGGGCTGATCTTTACTCCTTGCCATTTGGCAGCCCTTCTTCCCAACAGAGGGCAATACCCCACTAGCCAAACATTTTGTGTTAGAAAACTCCAAGCCTTCCTACTGGCAGGCACTTCCCATGTTGGAATTAAGGACGTCAGATTTTGGTAGCTTGGAGTTTCCCGGATCTAAAGAGGACTTGGCTTATTAGTTAAAGAACTTTCTAACTGAGGAGCAATGATTACCATTCAGCTTTTAATAAAAGTAGAAACATGGCTAAGATTAAAAATTAATGTCCACATGAAAGCCAAGAGAATTAAAATTTAGTTTCAAATTTGACGCAAAATTTTCTCTTTGGAATTGGGAAAGTATGTTTTGAAATTTCATCATTATGGACTAACATTTGAAAATTTCTTTTCTCGTTTTCTTAGTATCTACTAAAGTGCTGTATAACTTTGGCAAGCACTAAGTGTAAACATGCCTCATGTCCTAAGCTTGTATTTTTGTTTTGGTTTCATTTTGTTGTTGTTTTGTTTTTGTTTTCTACAGGTCATGCTGCTGTTACTACAATATGTAGCCAGAGTATACTTAGCCAGAGTAATGTATCTTAACGCTTTTCATCCCTGTAATGGGACAATCACTAAATAATTGCAACAGCAAAGAGCAGCTTCAATTCATGCATAACAAAACCATTCTGGATCAACCATTTATTTTCACATGGCACTAACTAATCTTTCTTCTTGCTCCCGCCTCTTGCTTGGTAGGTGCCAGGATGAGTGTCCTGTTGGGACCTATGGTGTTCTCTGTGCTGAGACCTGCCAGTGTGTCAATGGAGGGAAGTGTTACCATGTGAGTGGTGCGTGCCTCTGCGAAGCAGGCTTTGCTGGTGAGCGCTGCGAAGCACGCCTGTGTCCTGAGGGGCTCTACGGCATCAAATGTGACAAACAGTGCCCCTGCCACTTGGACAACACTCATAGGTGAGTGTCAGCTTCCCCTGGAAGGACGTGTCCTGTGAAAATTTTAACCTCGGTTTTCAGGATTTGGAAGGAGGGATTGATAGAGTGATTCTCACCCCAAGCCCCCTCCTGCCTCTAGGCTACTCTGGGCAGGAATTGCCAAGTAAAAGGAAGTCTTTTTAACTTAATGTGTGATGGTCCACATCCAAGGTGCCAAAATTGTTCAATGGTTACTGGTGGATAGCAAATTCTATTCTCTATTAATGACCACTGATAAAAACAAAATTTGCTGAGGTTAGTAGAACTTTCCCTTAAGCAAGGGATTCTGTGACATTCCCTTAGAAGCAAAGATGCAATGAGAGACAAGGAGTTCGGCCAAGTTTAGTATGCAAAAATATCATAAAATGATTCTTACTGCAGCATCTTTTATTTGACAGCACATCTGTGGAAGACAAAAAAAAAAGGCTAGAGAGAGGAAGTGTACTGGTGGAAGTTTTGTGAAAGTGCTTCACATGTGGCTGTCACATGTGAAATATCTTTTTCGAACTGATTACTCTGACATAGAACTCACAAGAGACTTTTAGCTCAAAAACCTCTCGAAGAATTTGAGAACAGGAAACCCCGATCCCACCCACCCTACTGTACCTCGTCTGCCCTGAAAATATCTTCTTACCCCTGTTTCTTCTTTCCCTCCCCCAGGGACCAGATACACATAACTCAGAATTCTGGGCCTCCTTTGCAGACTGCTGGAAAAGCTGAGTTTGACAAAAATGTAGTGCGTTATATAGCAGTTCAGATCTTACTAGAATTACTTTTATTTGCATTCAGTACAGCTGTTACTTCATTTATACTTCTGAAAGATAATTCGTAGCCACATCAAATCCCAAATGCACAGAAGTTAAAAGTAAACAAAACCATGTGGTTGGTCTCTTCTGTAAACCATTGTTAGTAACAAAAACATAGAGTTTGCACTCTGTGTGTGTGCGTGTGCACATGTGTGTGTGTGCTGGAATACATTTTAGTGGGACATATGAAAGAAATGTATTCTCAAAATAGGATTCAAGTAACTTTGTAAGCCACATTAGTCAACTTTGGTTTTCTTCATTGGAAAATATTGCCTTTCTTTACTTGACACATTTACGTAAATATTTAGGGGAATAAAAATGAATAATCTCCACAGGGTTTTGTTTTTCAACTCCCTAATATTTAAGGGGCTGGCAGGATTCGGGACAAGTTATGAATTTGGGTACCTTTCCTACAGTATAAGTCTTGTTGCAGCAGAAAGTAAGCCTCATGTAGTGACAACTAAGAACATTACGCCGGTGTGTTGTTTCGTTGTATGTAGAGACAACTGAAATCAAATAGAATAATAAATCTATGCAAAGAAAGAGCTCTGCTATGAGAAGAACTGGAGAAAAAGAGAGCATGTTGATTTTGTTGGAATTGGATGCCTTATTAGTAGTGGCAAGGTGCAGAGTGGAGAATTAGTTAATTGATGGCAATACTGTGGTAATTTTGACATAGGTCATATGTACCTAAGCATGTATGTGTTAACAAAGAAGTACATGACATTTTTTGACAATTACATAGATCAATAACACTAAAATCTGTCTAACAATATATACCGAATAATCCGAATATTTTTAAAAATCAGTCTTGTCATGATTTTGTAAATCATGGATGGCATTTTTAAAGATTAGCTTTTACAAATTTCTATTAAAACAAGTTTAATTATTGATTATATGACTCTATCTTGTTGAATTCATCACTGGAGCCAGCTATCTAGTTCTCATATCTTAAGCTTCTATTTGTAAAATTCCTGGAAGCCCAAGGTCCCTTCAAATCAAAAGGCATAGAATCTTTGTATTAATTGAAAGTCTAGTTTGTTCACATTATCATTTATCAAGCAAGTGGAGCTTTGCTGTTATATAATTTATGATGTACTAAAACCTTCCACTATAATTAATGAGATAACAAATACAATGTAAATTAATAATGTGCATTGTCTTTAGGTACATATTGAGTTCTATGGATATACACATTGACATATATTTTAGCCATATAGTTGAGTAAAGGTTTGTATCAGGTAGCTTTTGCTGCATTAAAAAACAAACAACAACAAAAAAAACTATTCCAAACCTAATGACATAAAATAACAATTATTTACTAACTGATGATTTTTTGCTTGACTATGTGGGCTAGGCTCAGCTTGGTGGTGGTTCTGCTGGTCTCCTTGTGTTCAGCTGGCAGATCAACTGTAGGCTGATTGGTCCTGGATATCCTCACTCACATGTCTGGCATTTGGCTGGGTTATGGGGGTGACTGAGCTACACATCTCCAGTATCTAGCAGGCTAGCCTGGGCTTTTTCACATGTTGACTGGCTTCTAAAAGTAACAGAAGACAGTACAGACCCCCAACATACACTTTTTAATCCTTTGGTTATGTCAAGTTTGCTAATATCCCTTTAGATAAGGCAAGTCATCTAACCAAGTCCAGATTCAATATACCTCACCTCTCGATGGGAGGTGTTGCAAAGAATTTGTAGCCATTTTTATTTTGCAGTCTATCATAGGGCTGAAAGGAATTTAAATATATTTATAAGCAATACTAGTATTTTAAACTTTAGCACCATTATTGAGCCTAAAGACATTCACTGTGACCTGGACTTTTCAACTGAAAACTAACTGTTATGATGGAAATGATTTTGAACAAGAAAATAAAATTTGAGATTTAATAATATTCCACATGCAACATAGAGAGATAGATTAACTGGTTTTGGTAATAAAGATATTTAATAGCTACGGACAATCCGGATGTACCTATTTGCAAATGTCACATAATTGTCAGTACATTTGAGCATTAATAACATCTAAGGAAATGAATAAAAGGAAGTTCATGATGCTGTTTCAGCCAATATTATATAGTATTGGACTTTTGTCATAATTCAACTATTAAATCGAACAGTTTCTTAGAATATATGTATATAGTTGTATGTGTTTATAAAATGACAACTATTCCCATATGTTTATAATCCTATTTTCATATACACAAAGCAATCTGTTCTTTAGACAGAAAACAGGTAATGAGTATATTACCCTTCAACCTCCAATCTGCTGCTCCTATAACAACACGTAAATCTCATTATCAATTAAGCTGCCTGCATGAGAACCCATCAAATGCCTCCAAAGTGCTCTAGCTTCCTACATCTAATTACAAATTGCAGAATACTAATTTTGGTGTCAATCAATCTGAAAACCAGTGTGCAGCACTAACACTCACTGGGGGGCATTGAATATCAATTTCTCAGCCTGCCTTTTGCTTTGTTGAATTCATTGTCATCCAAATTGTCTGTTTTCTTTAACATTATGTCTGTACCATGAATACTATTTTCTATACTTTTCAATGTAAAGTAATATTTTCTACCAAAAATATCATTTCTTTTACAATATGTTAAGATAAGGTAGGCTACTTTAACCAATCCATCACTTGAAATGTTTCTTTTCCGTTTATCAAATGTAAGGACTTACTGAAGCAGACTTAAATTTTTCCCTGTTTTTTTGTACAATATTTGTTTTTACTGATCCTGTTGACCCCTTTATATGTGCCAAATTCTAAATCTTAGCAATTCTCCTTCATGTCTGGTTCCCTTAGCAGGCTGTTAGCAAGCCTCCTTTTTCTTTGGTATAAAAACAAACCTGGGTTCAAGTTTGATTCTGCCCCACTACCTGTGTGAGACTTTGAATAAATAATTTACCCTTTCTAGTTCTCTATTTTCTCATTTATAAAATGGGATCATACTATCTAGGATGGTTGTGAGGATTGAACTAAATAGTGCTCAGCACATTGCTGAGACTTACACAGGGCCCAGTAAATGCTGTCTCCTGGTCTGCGCATTCACTTACAATATCATCACAAACATGGTGACATTCATGAGTTGTTCTCTGTGATTAATGGCTATTTCCTTTAAGCCAAGACTTTGACATTTTAAAAACTAATTTTAGAGGAAATCTTCCGCTTTGTATACATATATACTGAGTATAATTTAACATTGTTCAGTGACTCTGAGATGTCAGGGAGAAGCAGATTAATGTGGGAGAGCTAGGTCCCCGGAGTCACATCCGCTCTGTTTCACCTGTGGCATTTGCACTTATTCATTCAATCTACATTCACTGTGGGCCTACTATGGGCCAGTGAAAGGTGGAAAAACAGATTTAATTCTTGCCCTCCTGGAACTCACAGTGTAGGAGAGGAGGAAGACATTAAAGGACTGGAAAAATAAACTGAATTATAGACTGTGAAAATGAGATGAGAAGAAGGATCAGGGCACCAAGGAAGAGTGTAAGTGGAGAGACCTACCTTCAATTTGGGTGGACAGGGAAGCTCTGTTTGATGAAGAGACTGGAAAGACAATCTGGAGGGAGATAGGCAGAGAGTAAGAACTGCATCCTAAGAATATGGAATAGCCCATGTGGAGGTCGTTAAGTTGAAAAAACATGATGCTTTTACAAACTAGAAGAAATCCAGGGTGGTCAAGCACAGCAATAAAGAGAGAATAAAGATGAAAGAAGAGGTTGAGGAGTAGGCAGTGGCCAGATGACGAGGCCCCACGGGCTGTATTTAGGGTGACTGTGTATCAGGTTTCACAAGGACAGTCTGGTTTAGGCCTGTTGTCCTAGTATAATTATTAGCAACTCTCTCTTCACTCTTAAAAATGCCCTGGTTTAGACAATAAATTGTAGAGTCTCTGTAGTTATATTAAACAGTCTGGATTTTGTTCCAAGGGTAGTGGGGAGCCTTTGCAGAGTTTTAAGGAGGAGAATGATATGATTTACTCTTTAGGTGATAAGGCATGAGTGGATGTGGGCGCACAGTTGGAAGGTTTTTCAGAAGATGAGGAGATAGATGGCATCAGTTGGAGCAGAATGAGGACAGTGAAGATGAAGGGATGTGGGTGGATTCAAAATATATTTTGGAGTTAGAATGGTTAAATTCTAGTGATGAGGCAGAAGGAGTTATCAAGAATAACTCCTAGGCCAGGCATGGTGGCTCACACTTATAATCCCAGCACTTTGGGAGGCCAAGGCGGGCAGATCACTTGAGGTCAGGAGTTCGAGATCAGCCTGGCCAAAATGGTGGAATTCTGTCTCTACTAAAAATACAAAAATTAACTGGGCATGGGGCACATGCCTATAATCCCAGCTACTCGGGAGTCTGAAGCAGAAGAATCACTTGAGCGGTGGAGGTTGTAGTGAGCCGAGATTGCACCACTGCAGTCCAGCCTGGGTGACAGAGAGAGACTCCATCTCAAAAAAAAAAAAAAAAAAAAGAATAACTCCTAGATAAACTAAGTGACTGATGGTGCTATTTACAGAAATTTGGACAATTAGGGGTAGATACTGAGGGAAAGAACAAGGGCTCAGTTTACTGAGGGAAAGAACAAGGGCTCAGTTTTTTTACTTTTTCTGAGACAAAGTCTCGCTCTGTCGCCCAGACTGGAGTGCAGTGGCATGATCTCAGCTCACTGCAAGCTCTGCCTCCTGGATTCACACCATTCTCCTTCCTCAGCCTCCTGAGTAGCTGGGACTACAGGCACCTGCCACCACGCCTGGCTAATTTTTTTGGTATTTTTAGTAGAGACGGGGTTTCACGGAGTTAGCCAGGATGGTCTCGATCTCCTGACCTCAGGATCTGCCCGCCTTAGCATCCCAAAGTGCTGGGATTACAAGTTTGAGCCACCGTGCCTGGCCCAAGGGCTCAGTTTTTGACATGTTAAGTTTGAGATGCCATGGAGATGCCATGTGACTGCTCAAGGATAAGCGATTGGCCCAAGGATAATAGAAGATAAGCAGACTTGAGTAGATCTGAGACTCATGCCCTGGTCCTGTGAATCTAAACCTACACTCAAGAAACCACCTCATATGTAGAACCGTATTTAGGTATTCTTCATGCCATGTTTTCTGAGTGTTCGATGAATTTCTAGGCCTTTGCCTGTGAACACTAAGGTACAGAAGGGGTCGAAAAGTATATTTAAATAAACCTCCAAAACTGAGCACCAAACCATTCAACCCACAGGAATTTTCTGAACAAGGAGAAGGAGAAATATAGGATATGAGATTATGAGACATGGCTGAGACCCTCACTTGACAGACTAGGACATCAGACCCAGGGAAGTTGTATGATTTCACTGAGGCTACTCAGGTAGTGGGAGAACTGGGGTTGCATCCTCAGTTTTCATCCCTCCCAGGTTGTCATTCTTTCCAAGAGTAGAAAATCTATGAACAGTCCTCTGATGGGAAGTCATTTAGCAAATGTCTGGATATGACAGAGGTGTTTGTTGTAGGCCCTAATTAAGGGCAGGGTTTTAGCTACACTAGGCAAGGAAGACCATCTTTAAACAGTCTTCCAGTTGTCAGCAGAACTAGTTTGATTGTTACGATTTTCTCGTGGTGAGAAGCATATGTGCTTTCAGTCAGCATGTCACAGAGGGCCCTATTGTGTCAACTCACGCGTGCATCTCAGCGCAGCTGATATGTCCATTTGCTATGGAGCAACAGCTGGTTGCCTGGTGGGTCAATCCGGCTGCTGTTTCAGGTGGAGACAGCTGCCTGCTACCAGGTATAGGGAACTGAGGGAGAAACAGGCTGACGAGGTCACTGCTTTTGGTGTTCCTGGGACATCATACTAGTTAACTGGTTTGGTATTGTCCATTGGATGGAGTTTTTTTAGCTCCTGTCACAGAGTTGACCTCTTACAAAATTAGTGCGTTCAATTTAAGAAAACTAAAAAGAATTTCAGACAAAAGGATGTGGTTGTAATACATCCTGCTAGACATGATGCTGATTTCATACAACATTTCTGTATTACCCATCAGGTTTCAGCCAATTAATTAAATCATACCCAGCCTGGGAATGAAGTTTGAATTATTGGGCATGGAATTACCCATACATTTAGTGATCATTGCTAAAGCAACATTTGCACAGAAGTTGGGTGTCATGTTTACCCCAAAGTGACTTATTCCTTTCATCCGTGTCTCTCAGCTGTCATCCCATGTCTGGAGAGTGTGCCTGCAAGCCGGGCTGGTCAGGACTCTACTGTAATGAGACATGTTCTCCTGGATTCTACGGGGAAACTTGCCAGCAGATTTGCAGCTGCCAAAATGGGGCAGACTGTGACAGTGTGACTGGAAAGTGCACCTGTGCCCCAGGATTCAAAGTGAGTGACTAGGGTTCTGGAGGAAGGAGAAGAGGGGTGCAGTGTAAAGCATCTCAACACCATGGTTTATATGACCTCCAGTGAAATACAGGGAATATGCTAAAGTCATCCATATCATTAATGAGAGAGAAAATGAGGAGAAAAATGCTAATAGAGATATAAGGAATTACCTTAGTATGATGACTGGGAAAGCTGTAAAACTATAAATGTGGCATTAATTTTTAATATAAGCATATGTCAGAAAGTATATTATAATTATTCCTTAAGTAATTTATTTTATTGTGTTTTATAGGTGACAAAGAAGTTACTTTTCCAAGTAGATTACTGTATTGTTGACAGCTTTTGTTTTTAAGTCCATGAAATTTGAAGGCACATCGAGTTAGCATTTGTAATGGATTTACATTCTGTAGTTGGTAGTACATAAGTTTTTAGGTCCCTTTGAAAATCCAGACCCTATAAATACGTCTATATTCCATGCGCAATAGAGCAGAATTTTGCTTACAGTTTCTAAGATTTCATCGTTATAGGCTAGGAATCTTTGCTTTAAAGGAGAATGTGTTGTTCTTGAATTATTCCTTCCCATTGTAAAGAGCACATTGAACTATGAAGAATGTTGATGATTATTCCAGAGCACATAATGTAGAACTGGTGGATCATAAAGTCACAGAGCTGAGAGGATCTTTAAAGGGTTTTCTAACCCTGTCATAACTCTTTGGTTCAGCCCTTGAATTAGCTTTGTCTTAAGAGTCCCTTCTGTTTTGAAAGGAGATGACCTCCAGTTGCCTTTGGTAGCTTAATTCTATGTTTAATGCTCCCTGTCGGATAAAGTGAATCATGTTGCTGAATGTGTTCTGTTGTTGCTTTGCTTTTACCCACTAAAAATATTACATATTATTATACAAGGATGTCTAGGAAGGGTTGAGATCTAATGTATAGTTCATACTGATGTTTATTTATTGACAGTAATTTTACAGATGCAATTTATTTTTATATATCTACTTGTCTGAGCAAGGACATAGGGTTTTTATTGTTGTTTTGTTTTGGTTCTGCTATGAAGGCGAAGCTAAGGTAGGTGCAAACTTTTTTGGATCCCATTTAATAATATATCCTAAACATAGACCAGCTAGTGTTGCCCTTACATTTCTAAAATTTGTATAGTGGTGACATTATGACAAAATTTTAAAAATACAGTGTGTTAAAATTAGCGGGGAAGTATAATTAGCATTGCCAAGATATATTTTTGTTTATTTGTGTTGGCCTTATTTCAGCTGGCAAAACTGAGTGCATTTTGCTACTTGTGCCTATCTAGGGAATTGACTGCTCTACCCCATGCCGTCTGGGAACCTATGGGATAAACTGTTCCTCTCGCTGTGGCTGTAAAAATGATGCAGTCTGCTCTCCTGTGGACGGGTCTTGTACTTGCAAGGCAGGTAAGAGTGGGGGTAAATAAGTCTTTAATTTGATCCTGTCGCTTTATCTCCTAAAGACACAAGAAGAAAGAAACCTTAACCAGGGTTCTAGCTCCAGTTGCACCAAAATTCAGTGTCTGACCTCTGCAAGTCCCTCATCCAGTGTGGGCTGGAATGCTTTCCTGAGTCAAGGGAAGAGGTTCACATTAGATGATCTCTGAAGTCACCGCCAGTCCAAAAGTCTGTGTGTCTGTGCATTTTGCGAAGAGTAAACAAGCAGACATGTGTTCATGCCCCTAAATTGACTGGCTTGGAGTCATGACAAGAAATGCAGCCAAGCACCAATTTTATATGAGCACCAGGACGTGTCCATCCATAGGTGCAGCCAGGATCCTGGATATACACAGTTACTGGTTAATGGGATCCTGCTTTAAAGATGGGGTTGTGTTTTCAAGCAGAATCCTTTGTCTCCCTTCCATATAAATTATTTTACTTTCCTGATCTGAACAAAACTCAGCACTCCACAGTGTGCATCACTGCCCATTGAAGGTGCTTTGACTCTATATCTCTTCCTCATTAGCCCACTAGTATTTTGCAGTGTTGGCATCCTCGACAGATCACACAGCACACATGGCTGTTTGGGTCCTCAGGGGTGCCTTCTGTTCATTTCTGATGGAGGCCTCACTTGGCAGAACCAGTGCTCTCTGCTGCTGTGGCTGGGGCTGGGAGGCACTGTGTGCATCTCCAAGGTGTTTCTAAAGAGAAACGTGTTTTGGAAAGGCTCAGCAAGGCTCCCTGCTGCCTTTGTTCGCTCACATGCTCTGGTGTTCTTGTCGCACAGGCTGGCACGGGGTGGACTGCTCCATCAGATGTCCCAGTGGCACATGGGGCTTTGGCTGTAACTTAACATGCCAGTGCCTCAACGGGGGAGCCTGCAACACCCTGGACGGGACCTGCACGTGTGCGCCTGGATGGCGCGGGGAGAAATGCGAACTTCCCTGCCAGGTATGCACGAATCAGCGCCCTGACGGAAAATGCCTATGAAGAGCTGATGCCGTAGAGTTGGCTTCTTTGTGCAGTTTTCCTGACTTCAAGTGGCTCAGTGTGAACCCAACTTTGGTGACTATTGGAAGAATCTAGGTGTTTGGATTCAAATTGGACATAGGATTGGAAAAGGGATCAACATGGAAACTGGTTAGATAGGCTCTGTGAGAATTTCTTCCTTCTTTTCCTTCATCTTATTCAGTTTCCTCAACCCCCATCCTTTATTTTCTGTTTCTTATACACCCATCTCTTGGTGGTAGCCAGTGAACAGCACCGGTCAAACACCCAGTGTATGCCTGTCAACTCTCCAAACATTTTGTTTCCATTATCATGGAAATCCCCCTGCCTTTAGGTGGAAAGTGGCTGGGATTTGAAAGGAGGGTGGTGATTGATGTCACAGAAATGCTCCTGGAAGTGTTAAAAGAAGGTTTGGAAACAGTGTCTTTTAGCATAAATATCTCTGGAGCCACAAGAATATCTTAAGATGTCCCTGTAGCTCACTCTATTCCCTTGACCTACTTTGGAGATACAGGTCATTAGAAATCTCATACTGCATCTAGCTCATGCTGTCAGGGAGTGCAAATGGGAAGTGCATTCTGGAGTAAGCTGCTATTTCTTTTCCATCACTCTGTCTTCCTATAGCAATTCTTTTCTCCTGAGCCATTAGGCATTCTTTCTGTGGTGTGTGTTCTCTGCCTCCAGGACATCATCTGATGGCGAGATAACAATGTGACCCCCTGAACTGGGCCCCTCAAGAAGGGCCTTCCACAATGCTCTTCTCTCTCTGGGCTTCCTCCTCATTAAGTACAACTCACTTCCCAAAGTAGAAAGGATCCCACTCATGGATATCCCATGGACAGAGTTGTCAGCTTTGCTGCCTCTCATCAGACTAGTGAACAAATTATCAGTACTTGGAGATGAGCTTGAAGATCACGTTTTACTCCCTGTCTGATTGTAGACAAAGCAAAGCCCCTAGCACAATCTCATCCTTTTTCATACCTTAGAGGAGTTAGTAAATCAGTGAAGGCTGAGAGTTTAGTGGTTCACATCATGACAAAGCTAAATCCTGTGTAGCTCTATCAAACATTGGTGGGGTCTACAAAATGATTGTTTTTTTTTTTTATTTTAACTAGTTCTAGACAAATAATTATTCATCTATAACACCCACTACCTGTCTATGCTGGTTCCCATGTTCCTCCTCCATGGTAATTCTGTACCCCTGTTTCTCTTAGTGCTTGGGTGGTGTTGGGAAGGTGTGTAGTGCCGCCCTCAATTCTCAGGATCTGGGGTGAAAGAGCTGAACTTTCCATTCTTTCTCCACAAACAAAATGATCATGTCCATGAGGAGTGTTGTCTTCATCAGACCATCCAAACTGACATGCATGTGAAAATAGAAAAGATCTGGAAAGAGGGGGTGAGAAGGTGTGTCGACTCATGCTTAGGATTGTGAGTCAGAATATTTTGTGTGGCTTAGACTTCCTCCTGAAAAGCAGGATAATAATTAGAGAAAAGTAACAAAAGTTCTTCATTTTTCTTTATAGTACCATGTATCTCGTTGGCCACTTATGGCAATGAACTCAATTCAATTAAAACTATAATTTTAAAAATTAGTTTATAATTAAACATTTTTTTAAATTATAAAATTATAGTTTCAAAACTATAATTTTAGAGCTTTTTGTGTGGGTAAGAGTTATTTTTGTGTGAGTCATTCTCTCTTTTCACTAAATAATAGAATGCATTATAGGGGATACTGATCTATTTTGTAAAAAATCTTTAGGGACAAAAGAAAATATTTTTATGAGTTGTAGCTTATAGGATAAACTTCTTTTAAATACTTGGCATTTTTACATATATTTGCATATATGGATATCAGTGTATTGGCACGATTGGCTTCACCATTTTTATGTCCCAACCATTGTGTCAGGCATAAACTAGGGTTTGAGTGACTTTAAAACACTGACTTCCTGGAGCATCTATTTTGGGGACTAAGAAGACATAGAAAGAGGTGATTAAGATGCATCCCTCTGGCTGACTGCGGTGGCTCCCACCTGTAATCCCAACACTTTGGGAGGCCGAGGCGGGTGGGTCACCTGAGGTCAGGAGTTTGAGACCAGCCCAACCAACAAGGTGAAACCCTGTCTCCACTAAAAATACAAAAATTAGCTGGGCATGGTGGCAGGTGCCTGAAGTCCCAGCTACTTGGGAGGCTGAGAATTGCTTTAACCTAGGAGGCCGAGGTTGCGGTGAGCTGAGATCGCACCACTGCACTCCAGCCTGGGCAACAGAGCGAGACTCCATCTCAAAAAAAAAAAAAAAAAAGAAAAAAAAAAGATGCATCCCTCTAAGAAGTGTTTGGGACAGCAGACTGTATGTGAAATGGCTGACAGTGGCCTTTTCCTCTCCTGTTGTGGGATTTCTCAGGCCCTCATTGTTGCCTTTGATGCTGTTTTCCATGCAGGATGGCACGTACGGGCTGAACTGTGCTGAGCGCTGTGACTGCAGCCACGCAGATGGCTGCCACCCTACCACGGGCCATTGCCGCTGCCTCCCTGGATGGTCAGGTGAGAGCCAAGGACCACTAATTGAAAGGTGAAACCCACCAACTTCACACCTAGCGCTGTTCCTTGTCACTTCACAGAAACATACACAAGTCAACTTTTCAAAAGAAATGAAAATTCGATAAAGTTTCCAGAAAACTGAAACCTTTAATCTATAATCCAGGGCTGATTTTTTGTTGATTTGTTCAGGGGCAGTTCTCTTGAGCTACATGTAATGTCCAGCTGTCAAAATTCAGGCCAGCAAGATGGGGAAAATGTGAATTGCTTTGAAGAGTCCAGCAAGACTGCTGTGGTATATTTTGAGCACTGAGGAAAGAATGATTGAAATAAACCCTAAAAATATAACAAGGGCCACCTTAGTGAGGCAAAAAAATACTGATATTAATATGGTGAATATGCATATGCATATTATTGAATGATTAATATGCAAATATTAGAATGTTCATTGCTGGAAGTAAAAGTTTTAAAACTTTCTTTTTTTTTTGATAACGTTCGGGTCATGACAAATTCATAATATGATTGAGTACAAATTATCTAACCACAGGGTGGGAGTTTCTCCTTATTTATATCACTTCATGGTTTCAGCCAAGAAGTTTATCAAGCTAAAAGTGATCCTGAAAGAAGAAGAAGTTTCTGCTCATGGTATACAGACTTGCTAAGATATTTAGTGCCACCTTCCAAGTATCATGAGCAAAAACATTGTTCTTCTAGGACTACTTTACATTCCTATGAGTAATGTGTTAGGGTTCCATTTTTTTCATTTCCTCACCAACACTAGTTATTATCTGACTTTTTCATCCTAGCCATCCTAGTCAGTGTGCGGTGGTATCTCACTGTGGGTGGTTTTGCTTTCCATTTCCATGATGGCTGGTGATATTGAACATCTTTCTGTGCATTTATTGGTCATCTGTATTATCTTCTTTATATAAATCCCTATTCAGACTCTTTGTTCATTTTTTAACTGGATTTTCTTTTTATTATGGTGTTATAATAGTTCTTTATATTTTTTAGATGTATGTCCCTTATCAGATATATAATTTACAAATATTTTCTTCCATTCTTTGAGTTATTTTTTTCTTTCTTCATTATGACTTTTGCAGCAGAAAAGTTTTTATTTTGATGAAGTCTAGTTTATCTTTTTTATTTCATTGCTTGTGCTTTTGGTGTTAAATCTAAAAAAAAACATTGCCTGATCCAAGGTCACAAGATTTATGTCCGTGTTTCTCCTAAAAATTTTATAGTTTTAGCTGTGTATTTAGATATTTGATCTATTTCGAGGTAATTTTTATATACAATATTGTATATACAATAAATACAATACAATCCAACTTCATTCTTTTGCATGTGGCTATCCAGTTGTCCCAGTACCATTTGTGAAAAGACTATTCTTTCCCCCACTAAATTGTCTTGATACTCTTTTTAAAAGTCAATGTTCCATAAATGTGAGAGGATTTATTTCTGGACTCTCTATTTCATTTCATTAGTCTGTATGTCTCTCCTTATGCCAGCACCATACTGTTTTAATTATTACAGCTTTGTAGGAAGTATTAAAACTGAGAAATTTGAGTCCTCTTAGTTGATTTTTCTTTTTCAGGATTGTTTTGACTATTCTGGGTCCTTGAATTTCCATATGAATGGTAAAATCAATATGTTAATTTCCACAAAGAAGCAAGGTGGAGATTTAATGGAGATTGAATCTGTAGATTAATTTGGGGAATACTGTCCACTTAACAATATGAAGTCTTCAGATTCATAAACATGGGATGTCACCAGCAACCTCTTCAAGTTGTGTCTGTCAGCCCCTTGGAACATGTTGAGAGCTTCTTTGGTTTTTAAAGGAGTTAACTGAGATGAACTGTCATGTGCTTGATTTCTGGTATCTGAGAGCTACCTTGGGAAACAGGCCAAGGCGGGTGCAATGGACTTTATTTTCTACCAATAGGAGCTACCCACAGCCACAAGGCCTCCCCAACCCTGTAGTTCCATCTTGACTTGCAAAACCTGAGAAAACTTTGACTTCACAATAGGAAATTCTGCCTTCCAATGTTTCGGCTTGGCTCTTTATCCCCAAATGTTAAAACTGCATCACACTAGGGATTAAACCAGATTTTGTGACTTCGCTAGGGTTCTTGAAGTTCTCAAATGGAGAGATCGATACTAATTTCTCAATGACCACAGTGAAGCCAAATAACATTTTTAACCTTCTGGCAAATTCAGAACTTTTCTAACAGAGAGACCACATCATTTGTTTTATACAACACTCCACCAAATCTACTTTTGTCTTGCGAAGATATAAAGAATGTGAGGTGTTCCTGAACACACCAGTCACTGCTCAAGTGTTCACCTACTTTGATGATTTAGAACCAGCCTATGAAAGGCACACTCTAGTGTACGTGAGAAGAGCAAGAGACAGGATTTGGCCTGAAGCCAGCCGGAAAATGTGTTAGTTGCATTCCACAGTCTGGGTCATGGGGTAAGACAAATTATCCCATCTGGCCTTAGACCTATCAAGCTCCTACGGGAATGCAGTGGCTTTGTCACACAATGTAATCTTGTAATCCTCTGTCCATCTGTGGCCGGCCTGCTTCTCTAAATGGGAAGACTACCGCTTCATGCTGCTCTATTGCTTGTTGCCCACTATCTCTGCCTCATGGCCTGTCAGTCATTATTGCTTCTAGACCAGCTAAGTTGCCTCAGTGTCTCATTTCTGGGTCTTCTGTGTGGGCTGTTTGTCTGTAAGCATCTGTCAGTATCTAAGCCTGCTGTGAGGTCATCCCTCACACAGAATACACTCGGTATTTAAAAAAAACATGTAGAGGAAAAGAAAATTACTGAAGTTCCAAAAAACACCTACGATTGGACCAAGAATTGGCTTATTTTTTTTTAAAGGAAAGAGCAACTTCTGTATATTATTTACAAAGGACATCATTTTATTGTCTGCACCGGACAGACTGATAATTTTTTACCCATAAAAGTGTTTTGGGTTAGTACCTTGTTAGGACTTTTCTGAACATAAAGAAGGTTTCGCTTTTCATTTAAGACACCAGGTTTGAGGTCAAAAAATAAACCATAAGCCCAGGGAAGCAAGCAATTCTATTTCCCCTCATCCCTGTTGCTGAGATTGCTGTAGGTGAACTATTAAGTATCCCTGGACGGGGCAGCAGTATGTAGGGTAGGAGGCTTGTGTGTAGTGAGGCTTTTATGAACAAATCAGTGAAATCTGACACAGAAGCCAGGGCTCTTCCCCTGACCAAATCAACAAGATGGTCTTAAGTGCTCCGTCAACTGCGGACACTGTGGGGAGAGGCTGATCAGTTGGATTTGGAGCCAGAGATAAGAGTCAGAAGGGTCTTGTTCCTCTTTACAAAGGAATTAACATGACTAAATTGAGGAAGTCTCGCCCTAAGGTGAGATGCCAAGGAAGTTGGCTTGCTCTCTTACCGTGTACTCACATCCACCATTCCTTATAATTTCAACCCATATCTAGTATTTGACTGTCTATTCTCTTAGAGGAACTGAGGCTTTTTTATTTCTATTATAATTGATAGTCCTATTTTACCTAGTCATAAAATAAGTCCTCGAAATATACTGCTATGAAAAGTAAACAAAATAAAAGTTGCGTTTGACATTTTAGATCCTATTTCCAAATAAAGTACCATTTTATTGTAGTATGTGGTTATTTGAAACCTTAATTTATTGTGATTTTTAGCCAATAGACTATTTTATCAAAAAGAGGCAGATTGCAGTAGAAGAATGGGGAAGATGAAATACCATTCAGGATTTAGGCCGTATCCTATGCTGCTTCTCCTATGCCTCTGGACCTCTGGTACACTCTTCCTCTCTCTCTGCTATAAAATGAGGCTGGCTTTTCAAAATGATTATACTGAAATTTCAGATGTCAATGAAATATAATTATGAGTGTGTGTGTATACTTACGTATGTATATTTCCAGAGCAGTTGAGTGATATACTTTTATAAAGTATTTTCCCAAAATTACAGAAACAGACTGAAGTTTATGTCTTCTTTTCTGCTCTGACTTCAGTCAGCCAGAACACCCATTTGCTGAGCATTACAGCTAATCAAGATTTCATTCCAGCTGACTGGGAACATGTGCGGTGTCCGGCCTCATTCCCAGCCCTGGCTAAGATCACTGTCACCTGGGAACTCTTCGAACTTGCTATTCCCAGTCCCCACCTCACACCTACTAAATGAGAATTTGGAAAGTGGCTTAGGAGGAGGAAGATTATGGAGCCTCTGCCCGTCCATAAGGCACATTTGATACAAATTTGGAAAAGATTTGGAAGTCCCTCAGGATGTACTCCTTGGCACATGAAGTGCAAGCTGGATTTCTGCCCCAAGTTAGCCCCTTGGCCAGGGGCTCTTGCATAGTGCACAACTTGCAAAACCTTACTTGGTGGCCTTGTCTGCCCTGGTGACCCAGGCAGGCAGTGGCAATTATGGTCTGCATACTGGCATCTGCTGTGTTGTATTACTCCAGTTATTGAAGAGCTTGGGGTCTGGGGTGCATTTCTTTGACAGAAACCACATAATCAATGGCAAATGAGAAGAGGAGATTTAAGGATGTGTTTATACCAGAATAAAAAAGTTAAATGCTAAACAGATAAAAAGGATAATAGGACACCTAATCAAACTCTAGGCGTCTTGAGAAAGAGAGAAGAGACTAGCAAGGTGTGGTATAATTGTAAGGGGAGGGGAAGGAGAATAAAAGGAGAGGTTGGGGGCTCATCTGAGCCCAGCCAGGAGGGGTGGAATTGGAAGGAGGAGTCCTGTGGGCAAGTTGATGAGAAGAGCCCACTTTTCCACTCTTCCCAGCAAGCAGAACTAGGCCTACAGTGGCCTCAGCCTCTCTCCACAAGGAAAGCTCTCCTCTCCATGTTTTAACAAACACCAAGTTTGATCAGCTGAGTGAGTGAGCTGCTACTTCAGGGACTAATCCGTCCTGAGGTGATGTCTCATGCAGCTAAGGGATGCCCGAATTGTTA